TTATTAAATTGTACAAATCCCATAAATAAATGCCAATTTATTTACTTTTTAAATATTTAATTTATTTATTTGATAGAGAGAGACACAGCGAGAGAGGGAACACAAGCAGGGGGAGTGGGAGAGCGAGAAGCAGGTTTCCTGCTAAGCAGGGAGCCCGATGCGGGGCTCGATCCTAGGACCCCAGCTGGGACCATGACCTGAGCTGAAGGCAGACGCTTTTTTTTTTTTTTTTAAAGATTTATTTATTTATTTTGAGAGAGTGAGAATGAGAGAGAGAGAGAGATTACATGAGAGGGGGGAGGGTTAGAGGGAGAAGCAGGCTCCTCGCCGAGCGGGGAGCCTGATGCGGGACTCGATCCCAGGACTCCAGAATCATGACCTGAGCCGAAGGCAGTCACTTAATGACTGAGCCACCCAGGCACCCCACTAAATGCCAATTTAAAACTTTAAATTGACAACCCCAGTTCACTTCAGTCTCTTTAAAACATTAAAAACTTAGAACTCATTTAGAATATAGATTTTACTGTTTTTAGTGCAAAAACTAGGATTGGGTGAAATGTTTTCTTCTTAGAAAGTTTCAGAAATAGAAATGTTTTATCTGCATTAGATTGTGAAGGAAGTATGTTAGCCTGTAGGTGTTTCTCAGCATTCTAGTTCAAATAGTAATTTTTGAAATTGAATCTCAGGCAATATGAGAGTCTTTGGGCAGGTGTTGTTTTATGTATTGGATTAGGTCGAGAAACTAAAAAAACACAGATTATGGATTGACAAGGACAAAATACATTTAATAGTAGGTTTGGAGAGTCTTAAGTGTGATTTATTATACCATTTTCAGGTGAAGCCTCCCTTTGCAGTTATAATGGTGGTGATTTTGAATGAAGACGGTTCAAGCAAAAAGTACAATATAAAATTGATCTTTCTAGGAACATACAATGTATAAAATGAGATCAAATTTGAAAATGAACAATAAATAACACTAATTTTAAAGTATGTACTGCCTAAATGGCATTTATCGTAACTGTGAAGTGCACATTTCACTTACTCTTCAATATAAATATATATTTTTCTTAAAGTAAAAAATGCATATTGACTTTTTATTTATTATGTTCTTATTATCTTTTCTTTGTCAAGAATTTCAGTATATTTTCTGCTCACTTAATATTTGACTGTTTTTTAAAAATCTAATTTTGAGATGAATTATAGTTTATTAAATAAATACCTATTTAAAAATATTTTTAAACAGTAGAAATTTTGACTTAAGTAATTAAGAGTCCTCTTCCTCCCTTTTTCATGTTTGAAGTGTGAGAGAAAGAGAAAAAAAAATTTACTGACAGAATTACATGCGTTCTGTAAAGCCAAAGTATTTTGAAAATTGGTAAATTTAAAAATTTTTAATAGTCTATTTGATATCCTTACTCCTTCTGGAGTAGTGAAAATAGGTTTGGAAATTTAAAGTTTTTCAGAATGGTGCATAATATTAGGGTCTGGCTTGAGTTCTAGGAAGCTAGATGGTAGAAGTTAAAGTAGCTAGCTCGTTACCTGTAACTGAAGTCTCACGGTAGTTAAAAATAATAAAAAATATAAAACTTACTTTTTCTTTTAAAAGTAGTGTATTCCCTTTATCATCCCCCTTGCCCCATTTTTTTGCAACTAGTCCACTCTGGAAAACTGAATCATAAATTGCCAAAAAATAAGCAACTAAAATCCTCCTTTACAACAGTGCATTTTGCTAAAGCATTTTGGTTGAGAGAATCTAAAAGAAAAGCAATAATATTTTAATACCAGGAATGATGTTTTAATAATGGAGGCAATATCTACAGTGTTCTTCTGTTTTGTGGTGAAATTTCCTGGACACTTATTTTGATTAGCTGGTGCCTGGTGGTAAGGATTGGGACTGGGAGCTTGATCCTAGTCTGAACTTTGTAACTGATTCATTGTTTTACTCTAGAGAAATCATATAACCTATTTGTGCTTCAATTTCTGTATCTGTAAAATGAAAACTGAGCCTCTAAAACAAAGAGCCTGGTGTTTGTAAGTCCTGCAGGAGGTAGTCCCCAGTTCCATTGGTTGCAGCCTGAGATCTCTAAACTCCTGAGGGCTGATGTTGGTTCTGTCAAGAGTCAAATACTCATGGAAACTAATAATCTTGGGCCTCTTACTTAATATCTTGCTGCTTCAGTTTCCTTTCCTGCCAAAATAGGGTAATAATGCCTAAAGCAGGGTTTTTTTTTTTTTTTTTTAAATTTACAATGGCGTGTGTGTGTGTGTGCGTGCATACACAATTTCTCTAATATACATGGAATTTATAATTATATATATATATAATTTATACATAAAAGTAAAGTATTGAGGCTAATGCTTATCACTGTAATTGTTAGGCTATTTTCATTATTTTCTTCCGAGCGCTAGACAGAGTTTGCTCTTCAGGGCTGATAGAATAAATTTTCCTAAGTGTTCCATATGGCCCTTAAATGTAGTGTTTTGAAACTTTGATACTGACCTTCCTCCTGCACTACTGTCTTCTACTTTTTAGAAACCTAGAAACCATCTGAGCCTAACAATATCTTCTTACAAAACAATCTTTATATATCTGTGATGTCACTAAATCCTTGTTTCCTCTAATTCCAACTAGCACACACACATGCACCTGTACCCAGTCACTTTTTGGCAGCGGTCTCCTGTAGAAATGGCTCATTATTTCACATTATTTCTCCCTTTCAGATTTTTATACCTCTTTTTTTTCTCTCCTGTCTGATTGTGATGGGTAGCATCCCTAGAACAACAGCAAATAATTTGGTGTAGTACACATGTATGCCTTGTTCCTAATTATTTTTTATTTTGTCAAAATATTAAAGAGATATTTTATATGAAATGTGTACTATCATATTCATTGAACATAAGATACCTCTGTAAAAAGTGCCTCTATTTTATGGACTCATAAGAAAAAATTATCAGTTACAAGACACTATCAATTTTAAGATGTATTCGTATTTCATTAATCTTAAAATAGGAAGAAAAATGTAACTTAGGGTCAATGAGCTATGGCATACATAGTAGATACTGTTTTTAGTCTTACTAAATTTTTTGTTAGGATTTCTGTGTATTCTTGTTTGCTTGATGGAAACTTTTCAAATTTTTTTACTTTCATAGTTTCTATGAGTTACTTTTTGCTTTATTGCAGATATTGTGCAAACTAAGAGGCAAAATTCTTGTAGTTCTTCCTAAATGTTTAATGCCTTTATGATTACATAACTTGGATCATCTTTACTTCTAAATTCCCACCATGACACAAAGGTGAAGCATCATTTGAATACTTGAGATGGGAAACATTTTTTCTTTTTTCAAGAAGGGTGAGCTATACTGAAAGTTTCTAAGCTCTTCTCCCCACACACAGAATTACAAATTAGCTCTACTCATGGGCATGCTAGTATGTGTCATGACGTAGTAGAGCCCTCTGACCTTAAACTGTCAGTTCACCTTACACAGTTTTTCCTCCTCACCTTATATACCCTTGGGTTTATTTTGCCTTGGCTTCTGTTTTGTCTCCAAAGCTAAATAACAAAAACTTTCATTCTTTTTCAGTTTACTCTTCCTTATATTTCCCAGCCCCCTATTACTTCCCTTCCTCATCATCTCGTTTACTCTGAAAGAGTACTTATGTTGAGGTGGGTTAGAATAGATATCCAGAAATGAGAGTATATTAGTATTTTGCATACCTTAAAACTCTTAGTTGGGAGAAAAAAAGGTCATTGTATTTTTTTTAAAAAGGTTTATTTATTTATTTATTTATGAGAGAGAGAGAGAGAGAGAGAGAACACGTGTGTGAGAGTGTGCAGGGGGACAAGCAGACTCCACACTGAGCATGGAGCCCAATGCAGAGCTTGATGCCATTACCCTGAGATCATGACCTGGGTTGAAATCAAGAGTCGGATGCTTAACTGATTGAGCCACCCAGGCGCCCCATGTCACTGCATTTTTTATTTGAAGGAAGATGGTTCTGTGTACACTTGAGGGCTACAACTCAAGGTGGACAATTGATTATCTGTTAAACCTGGATTGTCTTCTTGGGTGTGTGGGTGTGTGTCTACCGAATCAGAAGAAAAAAAGAATTATACAGACTGATCTTTCTACCAATTAAAACATTTTCAGGAACCTAAACTCTGTGTAAAACATTTTACATGTATTCATTTGTAACATGTATTCATGTAAAATGAATAATGTTTTGTTTGTAAATGCTACTTTCTAATGTAGTAGATTATCCAGGAAGTACTGTTTAGCTAATCTTTACAGAAGATACTGAAACTTAAACTGGTTTAAGTGATTATGAGATTATTTTATGTCTTCTGAGTAGTTCTTATTCTTGGGGTTTATAGATTTTAGGGAAGCTTTGGGTTATTGGGTACTGTTTTTTGTTTTGTTTTGTTTTGTTTTATTTTTTTGTAGGGAGAGGATCCATAGCTTTCAGCAGAATCTTAAAGAGATTAACCCTAAAGAAATTAATCCACTTCTGTAGAGTTCTAGGTTAGCACTGTTTCTTTTTTATCTGCTCTCCATTGTGATCCTGATTGTAAATCATGAAAACCCAAGAGTATTTTGAAACTCAAAACAAAGAAAATTTGATCTTGAGTTGTTACCCTTGGAAATGGCAGTGCTATTAAATTGGCATATCTAAAACAGTAATAAAACTGCCATGAACTACCAAGGAATTACTTTTAGGAAGTAGTGAATATAAATAAAGATGGTATTGTTTTCACAGAAAAAGACATTAGAAAACTGTGGGTCTACATAAGTTGAATAAATGTGAAGAATTAAAAATATGCTTCTACTTTGAACTTGAGTAATTAGTTTCATAGTTGTATTTATTTTTCTGAGAAGAATATATATTGGAAGTAATGTTGCTTTGTATTTGTGTATGTGTGTGTATGTATATGTGTATATAGGAATTACTTTTTAATATTCATATGAATAATGAAAATACTTGATTTTTCTTTTTATTTTAGTGCATGCAAGATATGGGAAATACTAAAGCAAGACTACTCTATGAAGCCAATCTTCCAGAGAACTTTCGAAGACCACAGACAGATCAGTATCCTTTAAACTTTATTTATTGTGGATTTTAAAAGAATTAACTCATTTTTTATACTTCGTATTTGAACTGTTCATGTTTAGGAAGATGTGAACTTTATCATACTGTTATTTATTAAAGATCGAAATTGACGTGCCCTGAGCTGTGCTTTGTATGCAGTAAGTTTTTAATAGTAATTAATACATGATCTACATAGTATTTTGATGTAATTATTACTAAGTGTAAAATATGACTGATTCTTCTTGATCCCCAGCTCTTGATTGGAGAGTATATGTTGTTTATTATTTTAGAATATTATTAGAGATTTGACTTGTGAGCATCTTGAATAATTTTAAAATTAATTTCTAAAGAGATTTTCTTGATCACCTATATATAGTAATCATATTATGTTAAGCAGTTTGACATGTACGCATTTAAAATTGCAGATCACATATTTAGTGCAGGTGGGCCTGCTGAAGTAACTTATGCTAGTATTTATGGCTGACATTCCATCTTTGTTATAGGTTTCACAACTGTGTTTGCTTTTACAAATCTGCCGTAATGAATAAGTAGAATATTTTCTCACAGGCGTTTTAGTCAGATATTTTTCACGTTTGTTAAAGATAAAATCATTTGATTATATAGGGTTTCACAAACTTATTTGAAGTTTGAGGAAGCAGCTCATCAAAATTTATCTGTTCTATAAAATTATCAAATTGATTGTAGGTATTTGTGATTCTCTCCAAAGGTGATATTTGCAGTTTTGACAATAAGATGTAGTTTCTTAAAGAGCAGTTATATATACCTGTTTGTGTACTAAAACAGTTCATGTGGTCAAACAGTGAAAAAAAAATGTGATCTTAACAGAGATACAGGCCATTATATATAGTTATATATTTTTATATTTGTATAGAAACCTTTTAAGTTATATTTAAAAAGTAGGTATTTGTATTTGGCCTTTTCTGTTTCTGCTCCCCACCCCTTCTTCCCCACAATTTAACAATCTGATATCCAAGGCTGTTTTTATTTAGCAAGTTCCTAGGGTAAAAGTGGGAGGTACATTTCAGACATAACAAATTGTGTGAGTAGAGGTATGAATGTGTGAGGAAATACGCCATTTTAAGGTTTTGATGTGACAAGTTCACGTTTAGTGGGGCAAGTGGCAGAAGAAGCTTATTTTCCAGATTGTGAAGGGTTTTCGGTTCCATATAGAAGCAGTGTGGACCTCATTCCATGGGCTCATGGAAGTTGAAGGATTTGAAAAGCCATGAAGGGTTTTGAAGCAGGAGAAACATTAAAAGCATTTACTTCTACTTCTACCATAAGGAAGATTAGTCAGAGGAGACATTGGAGTCAGAGACCCATATAGAATGCTCGTACAGCCTTGAAATGAGCAATGATGAAGTTATAAACTAGATAATTAGATAGTGGCATTGAGAATGGATAAGAAAGAATTGGGAATATTGGAAAGAAATTGGGAAAGCAGGAGCAATTGGATTAGGTTGAGAATTGGCTGTGTTTCTGAGGAAGGATACTGAGATGACCCCAAATTTTAAAGCTTGATGGAGGTTCTGTGGGTGAGATAAATAAAGCATATTCCCTGAGAGAAGAAATTCAGTAGCAGATAAAGGTTGAAGGGTCAGAAATGAAAGGTAATGAGCCATACTTCATTGCTTTGGGCAGGTTGAGGTGTCTGTTGGACATATACATGGAGATCCCAATTCAGTAGCTAGAAACATGGGTCTGGACCCTAGAAGAAAGCAGGAAATACAGTGCAGATTATGGAGTGATTTAGCATGTAGACTATAGCATGTAGATAGCATGTAGACGATTGAAGTTATGTTTACCCAGGGCAGTAGTCCTTTATTCTTTTTTGTGTGTTTTATTGAGAAACTTGGGAATGCTGTTTTCTTTCTCCTCTGAAAAGTGAAGGCCTAGGGCAGAACCCTGGGAAGTAGAGCATAGTAGAAGGAAATATAGCAGAGCAAACAAGTAATGTCCTAGGTGGTTTTTACCAATTACTTGCTAGTTGTATTTATTCTCTTCTCTCTGGTTCTCACCCCCAAGCCTGAGTTGACATATAAGATCCCTCAAATGGAAGAATCTCCTCTTTGTGGAAGTTTGTGTGTGTGTTGGGGTTGGTTTGGTTTGAGTTGAGTTTTTTTGGATTTCTTTTCAATACTGCAGGGTAGTTTTTGATAGTATCCTTTATTTGGTTTCTTGTGGGTGAAAAGTGGCTTCCAAGTTATTTAGTACATCATCATAATTCCATATTGTTTTCAGAGAAGCCTGGAAGATATTCAGGAAAGGACTGTATATTAGCTTCTTGGTATCTTCTTACATTGAACTATGTTCTTTGCACTATTTTGTGTATGTTGGTAGGAATATTATTTCTTAAGTAATTACCATTAATTTTATGATCTTATAGAAGTAAAGGATTAATGAGGTAGTGAGTTATTAATTCTGATATTTTTGCTGATATATTTTTAATATTTAAGTATTTATATTTATTATAAATATTTACCTAAACATTTCAGGGAAGAGAAGATTTTTATAGTGAATTGATTGGCATTGGGTAGGATTACATCCTTGACCTTGAACACACTGAAGATACAACAGCTAAAGTAGTCTTATTGCTTAAAAAAGGTTTGCTGGGTGCCAAGCACTGAGCTTGGCCTTTTATCTTCATTATCTTTTTAAATTATCCAAACAACCCAATGAACTAGAGCATAATATTTTCATTTTGGGGGCTGGGAAGGGTGGGATGCTCAAAGAGTTACTAAGAAACTTCTCAAAGCTTCCAAACTTTTTCTTCTGTAGAAGGGCACTTGAATATTTTTTAACGATAGTCTGAGTAAAATCAGTGTTGCCACATTTGAGTCTTGATGGCCTTTAAAAATAGATAGGCTTATGGTTTGGAAGTCTGCAGCTAGATCATAAGGTCTAGGTATAGATTACAACTTTTAAGTACCTGATGTAATTCATTTCAGGCTTTTGGATTATGTATATTTTTGCTATTGTTTATTCAAACATGCTTATTTGATTTTTCAAACTAAGTGTTACTTCTAAAGTATTTACAAATTATCATATTTATGTGAGGTGTTGATCTCTTACTGTTCATAAATAGATTACCTAATGTTTGTCAGAAAATAAAGAGGGATTTGTCTAAACAAATTTGAGATAGAGGACTACTTTGAGTATAAAATGCCATGTCTCAGACCATGAGATCAGCCCCTATATCTAATATAATACTATGGCCTTTAAAAATTGTTTTACCTTAAATATTACAGCAATATCACTATTCCCTTCTTTTAATTATGAAACATTGTGATTTGGAGGTTTTATTAGGGAAACTAGTAAGAAAACTAGTCCCCTTTCTTTATTTCATGAATCATTCTAAATTTCATTGCTCTTTGAAAAGCCTAACATCTCTGCATTTTTATTGATTTAAATATTGTTGCCTCATCCCCAGAGGCAAGTGGAACCAAACTGAGTAAAACTCACATAATATGGGGCCTCACTGCATTCTTAACAAGATTTGTCACTTTTTAAAAGCTTTACAATTTACAAAGTTATGCAAAAGCTGCTGTGAAAGTATAATTTCTCATGTGGGATGTGGTTAATTATAGGCTGCATGTACTAGTGCATGACAAATGATAAAGCTTTACATTAAGCTTTTCATTATTAGGGTATTTCATCTTATCTAAAAACTTTAATTACTTCAGTTCCATGAGGTCTATTGTGCACCAAAGCTAATCAGCAGTTCTTCTCCTTTGAGCTTTTCAAGATTTTATTGCTGTCAGTGGTAATGTGTCTGGAATTGGAAGATTTTGTTCTTGGGCCTAAATATTAATTTAATTGTCTTTAAAATGGTATCTTTAAGAAAAGGGAAAAAAAATCTCAAATTATAAATAAATACATGTTAAAAGATAAAATACAAAGTAATGTTAAACTTTTGGGGGCTTGTATAGTATCATTTGTTAGTTTTGAGGACAGGGACAGTTCAGGGTACTATGTTGAATGTTTTGTAACTATAGGCATGGGGAAGATTCTGGGGTATTTGTTTTTGTTTGTTTACTAAATGCCAAATCAACCACATAAACTTGAATTGTTATTAATATTTCCTTACCTTGATTTCCTGAAATTATTATTGTTCTAATTTTTTTGGTTGTATTATTGATGTCTATCAGTAAAAAAATCCTTATGTCTCAAATGACGCCTAGAAACTAGAAAATGAAGATGAATATTGACAGATCTCCAAATTCATTGGTCCTTTTGTTTTTGTTTCTCAGTTGCTCATCTATTTAAACTTGATGATATGCAAGCCATCTTAACCCTGAACATGGTAGTTCTGTCCATTACTTCCATCTACCATGGTAATAAAAGCTAAAAATTAAATAGCACTCACTACGTGCCACATACTGTTCTTAGTTCTTTATACACACTAGCTTACTTAATTCTTAAAATAATCCTGTGAGATGGGTCTTAATGTTATCTCCATTTTAAAGGAGAGTAAACTGAGATACAAAGTTATATAAAAGCAAAAGCTAACTCCATTTATTGAATGCTTACTGTCTTAGGTGCTGTGCTAAATGCTTTATATGTATTATTCCCATAACTCTCAACAACTTTGTGAGTTGAGTATGATTATCTTTTTTTATGTATCTAGGTATGGGTTCAGCAGATTAGCTGACTTCAGGGTAACAGTAACTGCCAGTTAAATAACAAGTGCCTACTGGTGCCAGAAAATGTGAGGGTGTACGTTGGGAGACCATCTCCTTCAAAAATTAGTACTAGCGTCAGCATATAATGCAAAACTGTTATCAGAATGTCCATTGAAATTTCCTTAAGTTGTCTTTAGCGACAATTTGTAGACATAGAAATGATCTATAAACCCAACTTGACTGTTTTTTGCCCTCTTGGGCAAAATTGGGATACAATTCAGGAATCAGTAACTACAGGCCTATGAGCCAGCTCCTGTTTTTGTAAATAAAGTTTATTAGAACGCAGCCATGACCATTCATTTATGTATTTTCAAGGCTGCTTTGGAGCTACAAAGGTAGAGTTGAGTAGTTGCAACACAGACCATCTATCCTTCAAAGCCTAAAATATTTACCTTCTGGCCCTCTAAAAAAATTTTGCTGACCATGGTAATAAATCATTGTTTCTTTAGGTGTATTAACAATGACAAATTGGCTTGCATTTGGGACCTTGTACAAATATACATGAAGACTGTGTGATACGTTCTTGCTCTAAGAAGCACATAGGAACTGAGAGCAATCAAGAATATAGCATGTTCCCTAAATCACCGTCCTTTTTCAGATGACTCCCATGGAACTTAAAAAATGCACTCTGTGGTGTGCTTTGATTGGTTTTTGGGAAAAGTATTGTTTTATGTTAACAATAGGAAGATCAAAGTAAGTTCTCTTGCCCTAATGATTTATTTTATCTTATTTTGATATCCTTGGAAAACCAACTTTTGTCTCAGAATTTTAGAAATTGTTTACTTTTTAGTTAATTTCTGAGGGGGTTTTGTATCATAAGCAGAACCAGATCCAGCTATATTTGAATTATTTATATAAAATACATTAAGTATGAATTAAGATTTCACTTATATCTGTTATTTCTGAAAATTCACAGCAACATGTGATTTCACCAGATGTTTGTATTGTCTTTCATTCAAAAATACTGCATACTTAAAATTTGCCTTTTTCAAATTCAGTGTTTATAAAACATCATAATTTTCAGTATTTTAGCTTTACTATTGGTTAAATTATTGTATATATTCTATTTCTAACTTTAATGAGTTTTCTCTCAGAGTAATTTTTAAAATCAAACTGATCATTTTTTATCATAAACATTTCATAGATGAGAGTAGTAAATCTTTTCAAGCTTTAAGGTGTAGTATACTCTAAACAATATCTAAAGTGAATATTGTTTCTGTCTCTAAGAAGGGAAAATGTCAGTATTACTTTCTCTGATATTTAATCATAAAAATTATAATTTAAGAATTCAGATTTCTAAAAATTTTCTGTAGTTAAAAAAATAGCCGTATATATATATATATGCTATATTGTATGTTATATAATATATAACTAAGTATAATTGCTGCTAAAATACACGAATTTACAAACATATATGTACAAATAATAAATATATTCCATATCATCTGAAGTGAAAATGACATCAGTCTAAGTGAAGTCTATTTTCTTTTCCTTTTTGTGGAGGTAAATAGTTGTCTCTACAATGAAAATTGATCAATATATCCATATGCATATGCCTAATCTAACAGGCCAACTTTTTTGTTCATTTTTTCTGTTAAAAAAATAGAAAAATGTAATATTGAACTTGGATTGATAATCATGAGCAAACTTAACATTTAGCTGATTTACAAGTTTGAGTAAAATAACATTATAGCATTTTATGAAAATATTGGCATATTTGTGGTAACTTTTTGGTATTGAATTGGCTGCGAAAATTTTCACATACCTAAATAAGCAGCCTGATGGCAGATTTGGGGCCTTTCACTTAAAAGGGTCTCCAAGGATACTTTGAAAATACCCTCCAAATTTAACATTCTTTTCTAGATTTTAAAATATTTATTAGCATTAGCATAAAATGACTGATTCACAGATAAACTGGTGATGATCAGGAACATTCTGAAAAGGTTGATGCTAAACATTCCTGGTTTTGAATCACAACTCTTCCTTGTACTGTAGAATCCCAGACTTTTTAAACTTCCTGTGCCTCACTTTTGGTTGTGAAATGGTACCTACCTTATAGGTTGTTTAAGAGGGAAAAGGGGATAAAGATCATATAAAGTGCCCTTCACATACTCAGATTGTAGAAAACTGTCTTTAAAAATAGCTTTCATTCAGCTTACTTAAAAAATTAAATGTTTAGATTTCCTTCCCTGCCCTCCTTTGAGTGCTTTCATAATACCCCAACTTTTAATATCCACTGTATTTGGTGTGTCAACTCTTTCTGTTACCTCTTGCCTCAACTGTCAATTTAAAAGGCTGTTATTAACTTCTGACAAGGAGTTTTGACTGAAAATGTATTGCTTTACTGCTTCAGGTAACTTCTTTTGAACAGAAGGATGTCTTTTTTTTTTTAAGATTTTATTTATTTATTTGACAGAGAGACACAGCAAGAGAGGGAACACAAGCAGGGGGAGTGGGAGAGGGAGAAGCAGACTCCCCGCTGAGCAGGGAGCCCAATGCGGGGCTTGATCCCAGGACCCTGGGATCGTGACCTGAGCCGAAGGCAGACGCTTAACGACTGACCCAGGCGCCCCTGAACAGAAGGATGTCTTAATGGGGATCTACAGAGAGATTGTATTTCAGTATAATTCATTTCCTTTGTAATTCTGTGTATTTTATTTTATGCATTTAAAAGCACTGTCCCAAGAAGGAGTTCATAGGCTTTGCCTAACTACCAAAGGGGATCATGGTGCTAAATGGAAAAATTCCCATTTTAGTGAAATACAATAAAGCAGTGATTGAGTGGTAAGAGAAGTCTTCAATATCAAATAACTCAAAACTCTCAAATCCCACTAGAAATGGCTCACTCTGTCAACGTAAAGGCTAGTGCAGCCAACTCCAAAAAATTAAATAGTACTGACTTTGGTTGTAGCTTCTTGACTTCTCCATTCCTCAGCTTTGAAAGAGAAAAAAAAAGGCCTCCATTCTTCTAAAACACAGGGAATCCTCTATGATGCAACCAGGGGAAGCCATGTATTGTGGGAAAGAACAGAAGTATTGGAATCACAATTGTTTAATTTTTCTGAGTTGCTAATTACTCATCTGTGATGTGGAAATAGTATATATATTACTGGGTTGTGGAAGGATTGAAGGAAACAAACTATCGACAACACATAGCACACAGTGTTTGGTACATTGTGGGTACCTCATGGCTATTAGTTTCCTTACACTGAGAATTTAAACTGAATCTTTAGAGTTTGGTTGGAGGTGGAGATTTGGGTAGTGTGGTGGAATTGAGAAATGTGGTTACTTTTCGTTCTAGAATTGGGTTAGGTGATTTTGTTGAATGGGGAGAACTCCCTGAAAGAGACTTTCTGTGGCAGAAAGAAAGGTAGGTTAGTTGCAGAAATAGTGTGAGAGGAAAGCACAGACTGGGGAGGAGGAAAATTGAATATAGAGTGCAGGCTTTGTGGAAAGGAATGAATAAAGGGGAGTGTACATTGTCACTGAACTCATGTTTTTCCTTAAGTTATCTGTTTTCAGAGCAGTGGAATTTTTCATCAGAGATAAATATGAAAAGAAGAAATACTACGATAAAAATGCAATAGCTATTACAAATGTAAGTAAAATCTTCCTTTCTTTCACCAGTTGATATTTGTTGAATAGATCTCAGACTGTTTTTTTAAGATTTATTTATTTATTTGAGAGAGAGAGAGAAACAGAGAATGGGGGAAGGGGCAGAGGGAGAGAATTTCAAGCAGACTCCCTACTGAGTGTGGAGTCCGGCTCAGGGCTCCATTTCATGACCCATGAGATCATGACCTGGCCAAATCGTGAGTCAGATGCTTAACCAACTGAGCCATCCAGGCTCCCCAGATCTCAAACTTTTAACATACAAAGCAGCTTAATTTTTTTTTATTGTAAAAATATATTTAGTTACATACTTTTAAAAATTTGAATATTGGAATTTTTTTTCACATATTTATTAGCTCTCAAAGCAGAACTCTTGATTCAGAAAAGAACCTGTTCTAAGTAAGAGTCTAATAGCTATTAAATGCCATTTGTTAATTTATGAAATTTGCAAAAAGATAAAGTCACTAATTGAAAAGGGAGGGAGGGAAAATTATTTCACTCAATTCTGGAAATGAATGAAAAAGAAGGCAATTTATCCTCTCCTAAGGGCTTTAATGGAGGTGTCCAGACATATGTATATTAAGACATGGCATTTTAATTGGTTATTAGCAAGCATTTTGATACCTAATAGTTGAGACCTTATTGTAGTGATCAATTATATCTCTGTTTCTTTTTAGTTTTTTTTCTGATTAATTTTCTCATTCCGGTTAATTACAGTTTAAAGCTAATTGTCTTTACTATTGCAATTGTGTTTGGCGGGGGGAGGGGGGGTTTGATTCCTAGATTGATAAGCCAAGCTGTAAATAGTTAGTCTTGTGGTTAAGTAACATGTCCAGCAATTTGGAGACAATAATTTCATCTCATTTTGTATACAAACTGGGTTTTCTTTTCAGTCCGTATGGAGAAGTAATATACTAAAAAAATTAATAAAATACTAACAAAGTAAGGACATTTTAATACATTGTTTTTGTTCATGAAAAAAGTCTTGTTAAAAGTGTTTAAAGTGTCATTAATGTATATTTTGAAATAAAGATACCTTGTATATAGAGTTTGGGCTGCATTGGATATAGGAGAGGAAATCTTTTGAAAGAATGATAAAAATTGATAGTATTGAGAATGATACTTATAATGTCCATAAAATTAAATTTAGTTGTAGTATTATGGGGGAAAAAGGACTGACTGTAAAACATAAGTAATATATTTTCATATGAAATTTTAAGAAATCATTTTAGTGTAGTTTATAAAACATACAGCTTTACATTATATAACCTTTTTTTTCCTTCAAATTTTTATTTAAATGCTAGTTAGTTAGCATACAGTGTAATATTGGTTTCAGGAGTAGAATTTAGTGATTCATTGTTTACATATATCATCCAGTGCTCATCACAAGTGCCCTCCTTAATTATCCATCACCCATTTAACCCATCTCCCACCCTCTCCCCTCCAGCAACCCTCAGTTTGTTTTCTGTAGTTATAGAGTCTCTTATGTTTTGCTTCCCTCACATTAGACCTCCTTTTTAAAAATCCTAAACATTTTTGTTGTTTTTAATTATATTTATAGTATTTTTTTCCTTCTTGACAACAATTTGGAAATTATATAGTAATGTATAGGAAAACAGTTTTATCTTTGGAAGATAGCTGTTGCTATGGAATCCCCTCCCCCAGGTGTGATAATAGTATTATGTTCAGTTAAGAGAATTTCTTTATTCATTAAGAGATATTGTATTGGGATAAAATATTTAGGGATCAATTGTCATGATATCTGTAACTCATTTTCAAATAATAATAAATAATTTTAAATGGTTCAGTGAAACCTGGCAGCTGAGTGTATGTGTGTGTGTGTCTGTCTGTCTGTGTAGAGAGAGAACAGTCATGGCATAATGTTAACATTTGATGAATATTGGTAAGGTTTATTGAGACATTCATTCTACAAGTTTTTACCTTTTTTGTAGGCTGAGAATGGAAATTTCAAGGTAGAAGATTGTGTATTCTTGAGTTTATGTTATTCATATAATGAAGATTTAGAAAAGCTCACAAAAATCACATTTAACCCAAGGGAAAATGTATTCCACCTATTCATTTATAAGCAAAATAATAATTTTTTTAAAAATTTATATTCTAGGGGCACCTGGGTGGCTCAGTTGGTTAAGCATCTGCCTTTGGCTCAGGTCATGATCCCAGGGTCCTGGGATTGAGGCCCCGCATCGGGCTCCATGCTCTGCGGGAAGCCTGCTTCTCCCTCTCCTTCCGGCTCGTGCTCTCTCTCGCTATCTCTGTCACTATCTCTCTCAAATAAATAAAATCTTTAAAAAAAATTTATATTCTAGCAAGTTTAAAACATTTCTTCCTCTTTCATGGCAGTCATTGTGTAAACAACTAATTTTAACATATGACTAAGAATTACATTATGTATTTATATCTGTTTTTTTGTCATAGATTGAACATTCATTCAGGTTATTTCTGATCACTTGTTATGGTCCCAGTCTCCTGGCATACTGAACCAAAGAGGGCATGACCTTTGTTTTCAGAGAGATTTAATTTCATTGTGGGGATGAGACTAGGTTAAAAAAAAAAACCTGAGACAAAGTATAAGTATTGTATATCTAAGATAGTTAAGGAGCGCTAGTGCATTTAAGGGAATATCTAAGGAGAGACAGTTTGAATACTAATTGTACTAGTTGTACGCTGATAAAAAGATGTCATGAGTGGCTGTTAAGCTTGATATGGCTGTTACCCTGGTATTAAATGGCTCCAAATTGCTTTATCTTTACAGCTTTTGTGTCTGATTTTTATAGTTTTTCTGTCTTCTCTTAGCTGGTATTTTTTAGTGTTGCCAGTAAATGTAACTGCTCTTATTATTTTCTTATTTTAAATAAGAGTAAGGGCCTAAAGATTGACCCTGTTTATCTATGTAAGGCAGTAATTTAATTTCTGAAATTTAAATTCTTAAATTTAAAAGGATAAAATTTCTTTTATCCTTTTAAAAAATGATAAATTTCTTGCCCTTCTGAAACATAAATATTTCACATTGTTGTGGCAAAATACAAAGCAATAAACTTAAAACAGTGGCAAAGAGTTTTGCTGTTTTTCTGTGATATTGACCCCCTGCCTCTCAGGCCATTTAATGAGTCCATGAACTAAGCCCCGTAGGAATCCATCATGTAGAGTATGAGACTCTAGGATGGTACTTCCTTTGTACCCAGGGATTTATTTGTAGTTGTAAAAACTGACTTCAGCAAGCTGTTAATAAATGTGGTATCTGGTCATATAAACATGGTACTTCTGAGAAAGCAGGGAGGGTTGTATGTGCTGCTTTGTGGAGGGAGCTTGTATGGTCTGTATGGTTTTGAGTGCTGTGTAGTACTATTAAGTGTGAATTAAGGGAGGAAGCTTAAAGGGGAAAAGCAAAGTTTAGATAAAACAAAAACAAAGGAAAATATATTTCCAAGTAGAAATGTTTTGGTACTAAAGTTTGTACTGTTTTTTAGTCTCAAACTGAAAAAAAAGTTACTTCATTGCTTTTGTATCTTTTAAAGTAACTGCATGGCGCTCGGCACCAATGTGGGTATAGCATATCAACCCTTATTCATATCGACCCTCAGTACTTCTCTTCCTCACCCCTGAGATCTATGCTAGCCTCTTATTTTGAAACTATATATAAAATTCAGAGATTGGCTGTTGAAGTTCCCTTGGATTGTTTCTTCCTTTATTTGTTCATTTAGTTATGCAACAAACAAACATTGAATATATACCATCTACAAGGCACTGAGATTGAAATGACAGAATCTTAAAAAAGATTTATTTCAGAGAGATAGCACACGTGCGAGCATGGGGGAGGGGGGCAGGCAGAAGGAGAGGGGATGCAGCAGACTGTGCTGAGCGGGGAGCCTGACGTGGGGCTCTATCCCCGACCCGGAGATCACCACCTGAGCCAAAACCAAGAGTCAGATGCTTAACTGACTGAACTACCCAGGTGCTCCAGAAATGATGGAATCTTTGTACAATCTTAGCTTTGTCTCAAACATTATCCAACGTAGTGGACATGTATAATGAGCTGTATTCTGAAGTACAGTGTAGTAACTGTTAGAAGAATAAAAGTGCTATGGGAACACAGAATTTAGGTAGCACTAGTGAATTTTCACTGGGAGAATTTTAAAGGAGGTATGTTTGAAATTATCCTTAATAGCAATGTAGGATTTCAGCAAAGAAAAAATAGGCTAAGTGTTGATAGTGCAGAAAGGACATGTCAGGTTGAAGGGACATTTTATCTCATCTATGCTAAAGTAAGGTAAGGAGGAAAGAGAGTTCAGGTTTATTATTTGTTGTTTGGGTTTGGTATCTTGTCTAATGAGTGTGAAAGAGGACTTTCCAGGGTGGGTAGATGACGAGGAGAGAATAAATGTATGAGGAAGTAAGTCTCAGAAGGCAAATAGGGATTATATGGAGGACTTATCCCTTTTTTGAGTAAGGCATGGTTATTAATTTTCTCTTTCCATTTAACGTTGCTAGAAACTTAGTGACTTCAAATGACAGTGGATTTGTTACCTTACAGTTTCTGTTGACTAAGAGTCTGGGTATGGGTTAGCTCAATTCTCAGCTCAGGATATCACCAGGTTGAAATTAAAGAGTTGGCCAGGGGTGCGATCTTATCTGAGGCTCATTGTCTTCCAAGTTCATGATTGTTGTCAGAATTCATTTCCTTGTGGTTGTATGACTGTGGTCCTGTGTTCTTGCTGTCAGACGGGAACCATTCTCAGTTGCTAGGGGCCACCCTCAGGTCCTTAACAGTTAACCCCATCCTCTTATAGCATAGCAGCTTATTTCTTCATTGGAGAATTTCTCTCATACTTCAGATCTCTTATTTTAGGAAGGGCCCTACCCCCTTTAGGGGCTAACCTGATCAGGCTTGGCATACCCAGAAGAGTCTCTCATTTGATTAATCCATCATTAACTATTTTGGGATCTTAATTATACCTGCAAATTTTA